TCTCTCTCTCTCTCTCTTTCTCCCAATAATTATTTCGGTCTAGATGTTACTAATAGACTGCATCGGAAGAATCAGCGGACATTAACTTACATATTGATATATGTATGCATAGATATTAACTCTCGTATTACATCACTCAATAAGTCTCTGGTCCAAGCCGTCTGGAAAATAAGAAAAGCTTTGATAAGTAAAGTCAATTTAGACCATGTTGATGTTTAAGCATCGCTCAATTTGTGCAATTTTCGGTGGATTATTAACGAAATGAGTGAATGACTTTATTACGTAAACGGGTGTAAGGTATCTAATTGACGATCATTTTTAAAAAAGTCAAAGAAAGTGTGGATTAATATTGTATACCGGGCGCGAAGCTAACAGATATCTGTGCAACTCTAACGTAACGAATAACAAAAAGGGCTGATTAGACTATTAAAAAACAGCCTGAAAATTATTTTCGGCAATCGAAAGGTAAGAATACAAGAGAAAGAGAATTTTTTTTAAAGTTTAATTTGGTCTCGACTAAAAAAAGTGTAATTTATTATTGGAAAGGTAATGCTTTTCTTATAATTGCTAACCAGCTGTTTGTAGGTTGATTAGCTTTTTTTTTTTAACTTGATTTGATGAATTTTAACAAAACTATGTTAGCGTTGTTTTGCTTCTCGATCGCAGTTCTGACCATCTAAAGCAAAATAGTTAAAGTGACATAAAATTTAAACTTCACTACGGAATTATGTTTATTACAAACGAACCAACATAGTAAATGTAACTGCACATGCCTTTGTTATGTCAAGATAAGAAAGGAAAAACTAGAACGAAAATCTATATACTGCACGAGTAAGGTACATAAATGAAAATTCGCGTATTTTAATGCTTTGCAATAGCATCAGTAGAATAAGGAAAAGATAAGAAGATACCCCATAGGATAAATAAATTCAATTCAACCTAGACGGGTTTCTAGTTTGTATATGCTTTAATATTTTTTTTAAACTGTGGCAATAAAATTGAGGGCAACGAAAATAAAAGGCATAGGAACGGTTAGTACTCTTAGGAATCGTTGCGTAGGTAGATGTTAAACCAATGGCTCCATCCCAAACAAATTTTCTATATTCGTTTAGCATCCAACTATACTATTTTTACCGGTTTTTATCAAGAGATATTAAAGATGGCAATTTATTGGATTCTGGACTCAAAACAAAAATACATGAGCAAACATCAAGTAAACACATACATAGGTACGCTCTAGTAGCAAAACAAAATTTTTGTAAACTTTTCAGAATATGTTTTCTTTTTTTTCTTTTTTAATAGATGCTGAATAGATGAAAAAAATGCATTCCCCGAGTCAAAATTTTGTTTGTTTTGAAATATCCAAGGGTTCTGTAAGTGCCACGAAAAGACTACCTATTTCCAATGAATCCCTATTGCAAAGCTGCACGCTAATGTTTACATGTGGACTCCTAAATCCTCTGACAGGATAGCAAATATTTTACAAAATTTATTTGAAAGAATTACAACAGAAACAAAAATACGTTAATGTAACTTCTTTGAGACCATCGTTGAGTAGGTAAGAGGCTAAGAAGGATTCGAGAATTTTCTGTGCTAAAAATATCGAATAGACTACGAATTCGACGTTAATTGTGAATTCAGCTATTCTGCAGATAAAGCATGAATTTTGAGCAGAACAGCTTCGAGGAAAGAGAATGAGAAAAAATAGTTGGACATGCGAGGTAGGTCAGCTTTATGATCCTGGAATTGTAGAGTCATTTTCAAAATCAAAATTATTTCAAAACTTTAAACCAGATTTCTCGAACATGATTTCTAAAATGTCCGGAGACACAAATCTTACAACATTCTTTCATTTTTTTCGTTCGAATTTTTTACACTTTCTCTGCAATAACATTTTGTACAGCAATGCGTAGAGGTTTTTCGTTAGACTAATTTCAGAATGCTTTACTAATAAATGTTTGCTTTGTTGTTTGATCGAAGATTCAACCTTTTCACTTAAATACTCGCCCAACAAGTAAACATAAAATAAATTATTATTAAAATTAAAATTATCTACGTACTGCATTAGCAATAAGCCTATAGATTAGATAACTGGTTACTTTTCTTCTTTACTCTCAAATTTGCGTCAGCTATATTACGGGCCGTAGAGTACTTATTATCAAAGATCTCTAGCAAGAATGGATCCCGTGTTGGTATTTTTTGATATATTTGAAAAAAACTCTTAATTAATTAATTACTTAAAATTTTCTCGAATACTATTATCTTCTTTTCTCGTTTCAAATAAATGGAAATTCAGAAATAGCGTCTTTTTTTTTGGGCACCTGATACGAAGATGTTCTTTATGAGGCTGAAAATATTAAGCACAGCAATCACAATAATATAGAATGACAGACAAATCAAGGAAAATAAAATTCGTTTTCTTTTTTTTTTAATCGGGTTTCTTCTCAGGGTTCCAGGAATCTTTCCGTTTTTTTCGATCTAAATTATATTCGCCCCTTTCATATCACTTGACGTTGAGTTTCTTTTTTTCTTTATTTAGTTTTTATTTGATTTTTTCCCCCTCTCTCTAATAAACGAATGTTTCCAATTTTAGTTCTTTTCTCTCTTTTCGTTTTTGTGTAAATTTGAAAGATTTCGCAGTTTTTTTTTTCCCAAACAATGCAAATTGATATAATCGAACTTCCCTTTTATGATACACTTTTATCTTGTCTTGACCTTTCTGTTTTCTTTAAGACGTTCAATAATCTTGTATGTTAACACGTTTTTCCTTTTGCAAGTCAAAAATCAATCAATTAATTTCGAATTTTAACACGCATTACCCTTGCAAAGTTTTAAAAAAAAAAAATCGATCTATTAATGTCTTATTTTAACACGTTTTTCTTTTCACAATGTCATCCTCTTAAAGTTATATAAGATAAATTTTGCATTTTACATTTATTTAGCCAAAGGGGAAAACCACGTCATTTCATTTCGTTTCAAAATACCAAACTTTCTATTTATATTAACTAATATGGAATGTTTTCTTCCAATCTTAACTCCTACTCTCCATTCTGAATAATCCCAATGAAAGAAAAAATTTAATTTTTTTTCTTTGTGATAACTTGATGAAATAAAATCAAAGTACAATCTTTACTGTTTCTACAATAAATTTAATAACTTGAATATATTATCGAATTTTCAGCGAAAAATACTTTTTCTTTTTCCTTAAATCATGTACTATCTTACATTCTTCCTCCACTTTCCTTTGTCAATCATCGTTTTTTCTTTGTCTTTTTTTCCTTCAGGCATGCCGATATATTAAGCCTGATTTTTGTTCTTCTGTCGGTGAGTTCAACCAATGCTACATTGTTCAACGCTACAGGGTTGTATTTGTAATTAATGTTACAACGGAAAGTCCACAGCAAGTGTGTTAAAGTTGAGAATGATTTTGCGATGCAAGTAGTGCTTAGGTTAGCTAATGCGTAAAGCCTATTTATAACGCTTACATTATATTATAATCTCGTAGACTAAAGGGCTTATGCCACGATTCTGGGCCCATTTACTAAAAAAATGTTGAATCGACAAATTCAAATCGTGGCCAGTAATTTTGATTCATTGCGTTAATGTTTAGTTGATGATATAATGATTTTTTCGTTATTACATATTATACTTTTGCAAATTGAAAGGTCACTAGCACATATAACATATATGCAATAATATGATCTCAACAGAAGCGGACAAAAATTGGTAGCGCCCATGATATCATTTATATCAAGATCAGTTCTAAGATTGAATGAAATGTGAATTAGAAGAAAAGACAAAGACATAGACATTTTAGTGCTTTAATTTTTATTCACGCATATGCATTCTGGCCCATATGAGCAGATGTAGGAAGAGGTAAAAGAATATCTAACTTTTTATTTATTTTATTTTGATCTAATGTACAGTAACCTTGTAAAAGTAAATAATATTGGGTGACTCCAATACCAACACGTAAGTCGGAATTGAATGGATCAAACGAATATATGGATTGTTGATTTTTAGATCAGAAATGTTTAATATTTTTCGGATAGTGTACTACATTATGCAATATATAACGTATAAAATATATAATATATGATATGCAATATATGATATACAAGATATGATGTATAATATATAATATTCCATATAATGAGCAGAATTTTATGATTACAGACTAACGAATCTATATACGGATATCGACTTACGTAACGTAAGGGAAAATAATTTCCAAATTATGTCGGGGAATAACAACAGAAATGCTGAATAATTAGTGGAATATCTAGAGAAAAACTTCCTCACAATTTGTCATATCTGATCCAGGTGTTTTTGATATAAATTATATGGCAATGATAATGGTATGGTGCGCATATATATTTAAGTTTTATGTCGGCCTATACTTAGATCAAGTATATACTCATTTATGAAATAATAATAAGAGATTACTTTAATCATATTTTTATAATAAATCTGCTTTTAATAGCTGTAGATAGAAACTTTAAAATAATATCTAGTGATTACATTCGCATTTTTAATCAATATAAGATTATCGTTTCGACATTTAGAGAATATGTCACTGTTGCAAGCAATAAAAAGAAAAAAGAGAAAAATCAGATTTTAAAAATTTTACACTTCATTGTTCCGTTCATTGCTTTCATTCAATGATGTCATCCTGCTTGAAAACTTTGATTCTTTTTATTATTTTTTTATTACTTCATCAATTTGATGATGTATTTTGCCGCGAAGAATTCAATGAAGATGAAGAAATATTTATGATAACAGGCGGATACCGGCCAGAGACGCATACCTTAGCAAAATATGTTGCATCAGTGAGAAAACGTTTTGTGAAAAGCATTTTTGGTCAATCTCATTTATGCGGTGGTTCAATAATTAGTGCAAAGGTTATACTAACCTCTGCGCAATGCATGTTTATGTATATGTCAAGGCTCTCAGTGTCGCTTTTATTTTCATTTCATTGATTATTGAAATTGTATTTGTAGCTCAGATACTGAAAGACAATATTATGCAAATGAATTGTCTGTGGTTATCGGCACTACGGATCGTTTGAATCGCACTAAAACTACCGAACGCTTATTAGTTTCGAATATTAAAGTACATGAGAAGTTCTCACCGGATGCAATTTATTGGGATATTGCTTTGATGATATTATATAGAAAAATAAAATTGAACGGGTGGTCAGCAGCAATAATACCACTAGCAATTATACCAGCTGACATTAACACAGTTTGCACCGTCTTAGGCTGGGGACGTTTCTATGAGGTATGATGATATAATATGAAATTTATATGAAAAATTTTCAAAAATATGAAAAATGTTCGATCATAATCGTTACGACAAGAATGGACCCAAGGCGGATCATATTGCTTATGTAGATATAGCGGTATTGGATAACAGCACTTGCATGAGACTTATGCCACATTTGGGCGAAGAACAATTTTGCGCTGCCGATATTGATGATTTATCGAAGGATGCTTGCGAAGGTGACGTCGGTGGGCCTTTAATATGCGATGGTATCTTTCACTATTCTGCTATGTAATGATCAATTTAACACAATCCATTGTAGAGCGCCTTTTCGGAGTTGTAACTGCAAATTTGGGATGCGACTCGCGTCGCCGATCTACAATTTATACGAATGTTACCAATTTTGTGAAATGGATTCAGAAAAACATTTGCTGCCGCTCCCAACGTTTTTCTTTTTTCAATATATTAACAATTTGTTTGCATATCTTGATTAAATGAGTTTAAACTTGTTTAATGATTGACAATTTATGGACTTTTTGTATATATAATATTTCGATTGTCTCGATATATATTAAAACTTAGGGTAAATTGAGGACAACAATAGGTTTGGACGATCCCTGCTGTAATCGGAAATTATATTTACTTTTATAATTTATCTGTTAACCAATACTTCTAGCTCTCAGAAAGGAATACGGTTTTTTTTATTTCGCTTGTTATTACACTATTCACAAAGGTGCGACCATAATTTGCCATTGTCGGACGTAAGAGCTTGAAACGATGTTTTCTTATCACAGTTTTTGTTATTCTGAATCAAAATCGGTATCCCTGTTGTTCCTACAAGGAACGTAGGTACTCGACGATTGCGTACCTTTGTCGTTTAACTGCTGCTACAGTTTTAAGCTCATTTCACGTTTTGTTGGCTGTTACTGCTTCTATGTCTATATCTCGGCGCCGGATGTCAGTCCTTCCTACGGCTGTCTTGTGAACTGCAGTCTATTGCGTTTCTTCAAATATCGGCTTGGGGCAAAGCAAGCCCCGTCCATCTTCCTCTCCGCTTTCTCATTTCGGGTTCGGTTGATGTGTGGTGTTTGGCCGGCACCAATGCGTTGCTTCCTTTTTGGAATATGCAGTGTGTCGTATATGCATTTTCTCTACTGACATGTTTTTCACTTTAAATATCACAAGTAAATGATGAACGGTAAAATAAAGACTCCTTTTATATTTTTACAAAAAAAATTATCTGCCTGTCTAAAATACGATAGAACTTTCCCTCCAATCTATTATATAATATGTGTGTAAAGTGTAGATACTTAGAAAATCAGTACACATTCGAGAGCTGATAGAGAACATTTAACCGAACGAAGTACAAGTAGTATAAATTCCTTTAGTATAAATATCTTTAATTTCAATAATATAAACATTACCGTTCTTTATATATATATATATATATATATATATATATACATATATACTTTCAACAAGACGTCTTAGCATGGCATAGAGCCGATTAAAAAATTCTTACAAATAAACTAGAAATGCGGACACCCTTTAGCTTGGGGTGTTGGCAAAACCGATCTTTACTTTAATAAAAATATATAGCGGAATAATAAAAAAAATTACAAGTGATTTTTTCCCAAAGGCAGAAACTTTGCGTTTCAAAAGTTGTCAACAAATCGAATATTTTTAGATAACATTGATTGAGTACGAAATACCGGTCCATAATAAATCATGTGTTTCTTTTAATATTTGCTATTGTACCCAAACTGTACAACATTCGAGAGTAAAACCAAAATTTATTACAATAACGGGAACATTTAGTCTGTTAAAAATAAATAGTGCAGATCGATTAGCTTCAATTCAATCCAAGTAAGCGAAGACTTCTGTATAGACACCGGCCGTATTTTTGAGTGCGCAGCCAAAACTATAAGAAACAGTGCCAGTAAGGATTTCTAAAAGACATTTATTAATAAATTATAAATGTGTTGGCAAGAAGATGGAAATAAAGACAAACCATTACATATTAATAGACCTCCTGAGTCGCCATGGCACGTGTCCTTGTCATGATCAAAGGGATCACTTGCGCAAATTTTATTCATTTCAAATCTTGTAAATTCATCGCAATGCCTTTTTGGGATTATAAATAAATCAGTGCACACTAACTCGCTAGCCGTGGGGCCGTTCTAAAGTGTCCATGATATAAAAGTATACAATACTTGAAATCAATTTCACTTAGTAAGGCAACAGAAGTATTTACATAAAATCTTATCAATAAATGCTGAATGATAATGATGATGGTAGGGGATCGCTGACTTAAAAGCGCAGTTTTTCCTACGTTCGAAAACTCGTAAAAATGTCTCATTTTCTGACTCACAGTAGTAAATTCAAGATTTTTTCGCCTGCCATAGCTTTGTAAACAGTTTCTAGGGCATTACGGATGAAATTCATATTTATTTTAATCAATCGATGACGTAGGATCATCATAGTGAGCACATAGTTGGTATTTTGACGCATAAGAAAACTGAAGTTATGGTAGGCAGTTCGAAAGTTATAAATACTGAAATCTCGCGATAGGTTAAATAATGCGTATTTACATTTCTGAAAGTCAACAAGCGGTGCAGTTCTATTTGGTATTTGGATAATGAGAAAATAAGGTTTTATTTTGCTGTCCACTGTTGAGATATGTCATGCTGAGAGATCGGAAACAAAATAATTCACGGGCCAATAGCTGATTGTGGCCGAGACAAAATATTTAAATCAATGTAAGTAAAAAAAGTAAAAGATTCTCTACAATACAGCCTGAATACTAATATCATAAAAAGTGCGCACTTTCAGCATAACGAAAAAGGTGTTAGGTTAACTTTTACATTTAAACGAAATAATATATAAAAAGAGTGGTTGGGAGATATAAGCACAGATTTCTTACCTCATACAGCCGTCCCCACCCTAATGACGTGCAGACCTTATCCGTTTTGGAGGGAGAGTCTGGCAGTTTTATTACTGCCGATACTCTATCGTCCAAATTTATATCTTGGTACAATACTACCAAACATATGTCTGCATTAAGTGCGGTTTTATTGAATTCTTCATGACATTGTAATTCTTTAACTCTAAGGCATCTTGTATTTCCATTATCTTCCATACACTTTTTGCTGCCAACCACAATTGAAAATTTACGATCGTTCACTGTCGGAAAAAATCGAATTCATTACTATTAACGCATCATATTCAATTAGTATTATTTACTAAAACAATGCGCTGCTGACGATATCAATCGTGGACCTATTATTGAACCGCCACATATATGATCATTGCCAAAATAATGAGTGAAGTATTTTCTTCTTACGAATGCGATGCATTTATATAAGTTCTTATTCGTTGGACGACAGCCTCCCATTACAAAAAATTTTTCACTTTCATTGTTATATCGGTCGTAATCAATATAATTATTATTATCGTTATTAAGTTTTTCCAGAGCATGACCTTGTAGTACTGTAACGTCAGTAGCGTAATCACTATTTGCATTTTTATTATCAGCGTCAACAATAATTTCAAAGCAAAATACATTCCGGGAATTATAAATGAAAAAAACCATAAAAATAGAGCAAAAAATAAAACTTAGCCTGACAAAAGTCCTGTGATTCTATAATAATAATAAAAAAAAAAAGCAAAAAAACAGGGGATTGATTCAAATTTTGAATTGAAAGCAATGAATATAAATTTTCATAATTGTAAACAAACATATTCGGGCAAGGCCAACAATTGGATATCCTACACCATTTGGCCTAGTACAGTTATTCAATCGTTTTGGTAATACTATGCCAAAAATTTCACATTGTTTTCTTTCAAAGGCACACTTTTCACGAGAGTCCACATATTCACCCAAAATATCGCATCACATCATCCAAAATTTAGCAAATTTAATTTACTTCCTAAAAATTTTATTATTTTTCAGCTTCTATCATAAAAAACTAGAAATTAGACTTTCGCTAAAAAATAGACCTATGTGATTCAAATTTTGTGCTTTTAATTTTTTTTGCTTAATATGCTGCTGTGGGCCACTTTTCATCACAAAATATTAAAAATTATACCTTTTTCTGAAGCATTTATTATTTATTGAAAACCTTTTATTGAATGGGTTCCATAGAATAGACCCATGTGTTTCAAATTTGATCTACTTAAGTTTTAAGCCATTACATTAACAATTAGGCCTTTTTGGCATATTTTACATATCCTGAGAATCTTTATATGAGAAGGCATCAAAAATAAACTTAGTTAGTCCAAATTCGGCAAACTTCATTCCTCTGTTAATGTACTATTATGAACCATTTTCTGCCGTGAAATATTGAAAATTATACCTATTTATCATGTAAAGATTCAGTTTTCACGGAAACGGTTACATGACAAGGTGTTCAAAGGTTTGCTTGACGTTAACCAAATTTTTCATACCAATTTAATATGTCAAAATACTATCACACAGTGGGCTTTGTCGCAAAATTTTGAAAACTTTCAACATATTCTATGGGGAGTGGGCGAAAAATTGGTCCGATTTGAAACATTTTTAATAGGGTTTGTCTTTGGACGAAAACACGCCAGTCTACCATATTTCATCTAAATATTTCAAAATTTGCGATTTGTTGGTTGAGCATCATAATACATGGACATAAAGCAAATGGTGCGTCAATCCTACGTCCTTATGGGTGTTATCATAAGCCATTCTGCGTGTGACATACGCCCAAAAAAAAAAAACAACTCGTCTTTTTAGGCTGTCCACGAAAGGGCTTTGCTTTCACAGATGGTATGCCTGAAAACACATACGTGCGAATTTTAGGTCGAACACATTGAAAGCAATTCGACCCAAAGAAATCTTCAGTCGTTTCAGTTTTTCGAACCTTGTTAATTTTCAATTCTTGTAGGTTAGAAAGTCCTCGATAGTATACCATATTGGAACGAATGTAATTACATTCAGGTGGTGATCGCAACTTTTTTACTTCCCATATTTGTGACCGATATTTTCAAACTGCGTGCAGTTACTTGGAATGAACATGGAAATTTTTATCGCTATATCTAATTTGGTTCGTAAGTGATGATGAATGAGTAGCTAAACCACTTTCTTTTTTTTTTTTTGGCTTGATCAAATTGGTCCGCTTTCAAGATAACCCTGTGGCCAAGAATTTGCACGTCTGTATTGAGGAGACAATACACAAAGGGACAGACTAACACACGGTTAATTCTATTGGTTAGTTCGATTAAGAAGTTGCTGTTTCCTGGGATCTCTTAACCGTCTTTGCAGGTGTT